TTTTTTAAGACAGAGCAAGGTAAATGGCATATAAATCTGGAAGCAGCTGGTAACGCAGAGTCTAGCTTGATAGCTACTTGCTGCCCTTTGATTTTCTATTATGAAAAGAGACCTAGCTAATTTAAAATCATGAAGCTGCACTCAGGGACTTGGTTTTAATATAGCTCAGGAAGGGAGAGTGCTTGCCTAAGCACACATGGATACCCTGGGTGCCATTCCTAGCACCCCATAAGCCAGGCAAAGTGGCACACGGATGTAATGTCAGCACAAAAGAGGTGGAGGCAGGAGGATCAGAAGTTCAAGTTCATCCTCAAATAGTAGCAAATTTGAGGTCAATTTGGAATACATGAGTCTCCAATGGATTGAGCCACACCAAAGGGCGTTTGGGGACACAAAGGGATAGACCTTAATATACATACACATATACATGAAATTAGGCAGAGGGTATGCAGATGGGGGTGGTCTGAGTATGATCAAAATATGCTGTATGAAATTGGCAACATTTCAATTAAAACTTGGGGAAAAAAAAGCAGGAGTAGCAGCAACTGCTGCACTTAGCCTAGGTTAGTTGCCATCATAAACTCACCTACCCATAAAGCTGGAGTTTCAGGGTCTTGAAAGGTTTATTGAGAGTAATTCTAGGACCTTTATGAAGTAGATAGTGATGAAGGGTCTTTTTCCTTCTAAAAAGTTTCAGAAGGTGGTAAGTGACTCCTGAGAGTAGGGAAATTTGACAAAGGTTTCAATCATGCAAAACCCTAACATTCCTGAATGAGAGAACACCAGACATTGGGTATCTCCTGATATGATACAATAGAAAGTACCAAGTATTACCTATGACATATTTTGCAGGAGGGAGAAAGGAAGAGATGGAAAGAGAGAGAGAGAGAGAGAGAGAGAGAGAGAGAGAGAGAGAGGGGGGAAGGGAAGCCAAGGAAGGAGAGATGGAAGGAGAGAAAATCCTGAATCAAATTAAGGTTTTAAACATAATTACTGTTAATCAGAAAAAAATACAGAATATGTAATGTTTGACAGAACAAATGACTTAGTTTCTTCAGTAAATATATGACATTTCAAAAACAAGGGGAGCCAGGCATGGTTGTGGATGCCCTTACTCCCGGCATTCAGGAAGCGGAGGTAGATTGAACTCTGTGAGGTTGAGGCCAGCCTGGTCTACATACTGAGTTCCAGGCCAGTTCGGGCTATAGGGAGACCCTGTCTCAAGAAAACAAAAACAACCCCCCCCAAACTCAAGGGGAATTGTTACAAATTAAAGAGATTAGCTTACATGCAGAAATACTCATACATATAAAAATAAAAGTAAATAAAAATAAAAGGGGGTGGAGAGATGGCTCAGTGGTTAAGAGCACTGGATGCTCTTGTAGAGGACCTGAGTTCAGTTTCTAGCACCCATATGGTAGCTAACAATCACCTATAACTCCAGTTCTAGGGTATCTGACACCCTCTTCTGGCCTCTGAGAGCACTGCATGAACATGGTATACTTATATCATGCAGGCAAAACATTCATTCAAGTAAAAGAGAGAGATTTAGAAGACATAATATCTTACCATCAAATTTAAACAAACTAAATATAAAAAATTAGGATACAGGCCAGTGAGATGGCTCAGTGGGTAAAGGTGCTTGCCTTCTGACAATGCAACCCTGATGACCTGAGTTCCATCCTTAGAACACACATAAAGGTAGAAGAACAAACTCCACAAAGTTGTCTTCTGAGCTCCACACATGAGCACCCCATCACATTACACACACACACACACACACACACACACACACACAGAGAGAGAGAGAGAGAGAGAGAGAGAGACAGACAGAGAGAGAGAGAGAGAGAGAGAAAGATAAAGTGCACGTTAAAAAAAACTACAGTAAATTGTACACCAATTGGATATTAGTTTTGTTAGGTTGTGATAATAGTAGTAATGTTTATTATGACTTACTAAAGTTGAGCTGAAGTTTATGAATAAATGATGGGATGCCTTGGAGATGCTTTAAAATAGTTCACCAAAAAGTCAGGCATAGTGGCACATGCCTTTAATCCCAGCACTTAGGAGGCAGAGGCTGGTGGATTTGTGTGAGATGTAAGCCAGCCTGATCTACATAGCAAATTCCAGGCCAACTAGGGCTACAGGGAGACCCTGTCTCAAAAAACAAAACAAAACAAAACAAAAACAAAAACCAACCAAACAAACAACAAAAAAACCCCAGAAACAAAACAAAATAAACCCAAACCAAACAAAAAGAGTTCCTCCAAAGGGGCGGGGGGATGCTGATAAAGTGAAAGCTAGGTGATACTTGAGGGCTTGCTTATACTACTCTCTTGACTTAATGTTACATTTGAAAATATCTTGAGGTCTGGTAAGATGGTTCAGTGGGTAAAGGCACTGACCACTTGAGTTCTATCTCTGGAATGCACTTGGTGGAAGGAGAAAACCAACACCAGCAAGTTGTTCTCTGACCTACACACACATTCCATAGTGTGAGAGTGTGTGCACATACACATACATACACAAAATAAAATTTAAAAAAAGAGAAAATGTCTTATGATAAAATGATCTTGAAAGTGTGTGTGTGTATGTGTGTGTGTGCACACATGTGTGTGACATTAAGTATGGAAAATTAAATTTGAAAAAAGTTGTTATAAACTGAAATTATAAACTGAAAACTACTAATTTCCCTTTATTGTCCATAGTATTTTAGTACATTTATTCTTTTTGTTTCTTTGTTTTGAGATAGGGTCTGACTATGTAACCCTTGCTGGCCTGGAACTCAATATTTAAAAGTGTGCACTACCACCTCAGGCTAGTACAATTATTCTTGATTAGTGACTGTATTTCCCTACACCAACAGATGTAGTAAGTTTATAGGATATTTTTGACTTAAGGATACAGTCTTTAGGCATAATTTATTTCCCAACATCTTCAAAATTTTGGGTCTTCATAATTTTGTATAAAAATTTAGGAGGCTAATTTTTCAGAGCTAAATAAGTTTAGCAGGTTCTAAGAAGAAACTTTCCTTGGCCCTCTCACCTGCTGCACAGGACAACAAACCTGACTTTTCAGGTCTTTTTGGAAGCCAACATAATCTCCCTCGGATATCGTCTATACAAAACACATGAAAGGGGGCTGGAGAGATGGCCCTGCAGTTAACAGCACTGGCTGTTCTTGCAGAGGACCCTTAACTTCCGTTCCTGGGGATTCGATGCCCTCTTCTGACCTCTATGGAAATTGCACTTCCTGAGTGCACTTACATACATGCAAGTAATACACTCATACACATAAAAAAATAAAAATAATGAATAAAAAATATTAAAAAAAAAACAACCCAGGGGCTGGAGAGCTGGCTCAGCAGTTAAGAGTACTGACTGCTCTTGCAGGAGACTGAGGTTCGATTCCCAGCACCCACATGGTGGTTAATAAACATCTGTAGCTCCAGTTCCAGGGGCTCTGATGCCTTCTTCTGACATGGGGAATTGCATGACAGGGGTGCACTTATACACATGCAGGCAATACACTCATACACATAAAATAAAAATAAGATATTTTTAAAAATACTTAAAAAAACAAAAATAAATGAAAGAGCATTACCTCAAATAGTTTTGGACATGTTATTAGAACTGTTTAGGTATATTTCAGCTAGAAACAAACAGACTCTTAAATGTACAGGGGGTTTTGTGTTGGCCAATTTCCTTTGATATATTTTAATCTTTCCTTATTGCATTCCTGTGTTGGGTTAACAATGTAATAGGATAGAATGTGTATGTTTTGATCTTATCTATTGGTTTATAGCTATTAGATATTTGTTCTCACAAAAGCTTATGCAGAGGGCTGGAGGTCTAACTCAGTGTTTATCCAGCACCAAAGGGGGAAATAAAAAGCTTCTGTAAAGAATTGCTTCTTGTGGCTGGAGAGATGGCTCAGTGGTTAAAAGCACTGGCTACTCTTGAAGAGGACCTAGGTTCAATTCCCAGCACCCTCTTGATGGTTAACAACCATCTGTAACCTGAGTTCCAACTGACACCCTCTTCTGGCCTCTTCAGGCATTGCACACATGTAGTACACTTACATATATGCAAGCGAAACACTAATACATATAAAAATAAATTGAAAGGCAGGGCAGGTTGGTGCATACCTTTAATCCTAGCACTTGGGAGGCAGAGGCAGGTGGATCTCTGTGAGTCCAAGGCCAGCCTGGTCTACATAGTGAGTTTCAGGCCAGCTCCAGGCCAGTTGGCACTGCTTCAGGGAGACCCTGTCTCAACAAGTCCAAATAATAATAATAATAATAATAATAAATTTTTAAAAAATTAAAGAAAATGAAAAATTATTATTTAAAAATTAGACACGAGTTAAGATACAATTATGTATCTACACATGTGCAAAAATCATATTACTTTGGGGGTATTTACTAAGACTTGGTTAGCTGGTTATAGTTGAGCTGCTTTTCTTTGTCAGGTAGTAGGGATTGAACCTTGGTCCTCATGCATGGGGAGGCAAGTGCTCTACCACTGAGCTGCATCCATAGCTCTTACAGTCGAGCTTGAATGCTGGCTTAATTTGTTTTTAATTTTTAAATTTTCAGTGGTATTGGGAATGGAATCCAGGTCCTCACATGTTATGCAATATTTTGCCACTGAGTTGTACCTCCATCCCCAACTAAAGTTTTGTGAAAGCAGAAAGAATGAGATACTAGATTCTGAAAGTTAAATATAATATTATAAAAAATTAGAAGTTCAACAATATATAATAATGGAAACAAATATATTAGCATTGAACATAGCAAGAAGAGTATCTTTTGGTTGGGGACTATTTATTGTACTTTTGTGCTTTAAAAATAAATCTGTAGACGTGGGTCTAAGGGGTAGAGAATGAAAGTTATTGGTGCTTGAAGAATTATATTCTATTATATTAGATTGAAGAAACATACACACCTCTAACTGGGAAGCTTAGTTGTTGTAATGTTGATGCACTTATACAGTAGCCCATTTGTGGCTCATAAGCAATGGTGTCTAGGCATTCATTCCAATCTTGCACATTAGTAACAGGACAATCCTGCAGGTGAGTGACAAGGTCTCCCACAAAAAGACCTCTGGGTCCAATGGCAGGTGAGTCCTTGGGAAGAGGGAAAATAAAATCAGACACTGTGATGGCAAGCTCTGATCAATCTAAATCAGAGTAACAGACACTGTGTTAACTAAAAGTAAAATATAGGCAGCTAACAACTGTCTGTAACTTCAGCTCCAGGGGATCCGACAGCCTCTTCTGTACTCTGTGGGCATTGCACGACACAGGTGCACTTACCTACATGCAGGCAATACACGCATACACATAAAATATAAATAATAAATATTTTTTAAAAAAGTAAAATATTTTGAATAATGAGTAATTCATCACTGAATCCAAAATCTGTAGCCCTAGAAAACTAACAAAATAAAATCAAACAATTATAATTGTTTCCTCCCAGTTTGCCAAGATATTGATGCTTTCACAACTAAAAACAACCTACTAGCTATTAATATTAAAATAATGAGGCTGGAGAGATGGCGGTTAAGAGCACTGGCTGCTCTTGCAAAGGACCTGGGTTTGATTCCCAGCACCTACATGGCAGCTAACAACCATCCTAACTCCACTTCCAGGGGATCTGACACTCTCTTCTGATCTTTGTGGGCACTGCATTACAAAAATACACTTACGTACATGCAAACAATACACTCATACACATAAACTTTAAAAAAAGATTAAAATGACAAAGGGGGTGGGGTATACAACATATTCGTAGTATGTGCCAGGTCCTGGGTTTGTTCCTCAGCAGTGCAAAAAGTTGAAAAAGAACAAACTAAATGAACCATACTTCAGTGGATAGCTCCATACCCAGAATTATATGGACAGTACCAATTGGAGTTTATGAGTTATTAAATTAATTTTAAAATTTTAATTCCAAAACAAAAGCCACACGTAGTGACACAAGCCTTTGATCCCAGCACATGGGAGACAGAGGCAGGCAGATCTCTCTGAGACTGAGGTCAACTTGATCTACACAGCATGTTCCACGCCAGCTAAAGCTAAATAGTGAGACCCTGTCTCAAAAAAAAGAGAAAAAAAGTCTGAACCAATGATGTACCTAATGAATACAAATAAAATCTGCCACCCTAAAAATAAATAAATAAATATATGTACAAGCCCTCAGTAACAATAAGAGAACAAAAGAACAAAATGAATAGGAGTTGGAGAGACAGTTGTTGGTAAAGTACTTGTGCAAGCATGAGGACCTGCATTGGACCCAGCACATATAGAAAAATCTGGGTATAGTGTAATCTTTTCTTTTTTGGGGGGCGGGGGTCTTTTTCAGACAGGGTCTCCCTGTAGTCACGGTTGGCCTGGATTCGCTATGGAGACCAGGCTGGCCTTGAACTCACAGAGATCCACTTGCCTCTGCCTCACAAGTGCTGGGATTAAAGGCGTGTGCCACTACGCCTGGCTGTATGTGTTGTCTTAATGCTGAGGAGGCAAAGAAAGTAAGATCTGGCTGAATGGCCAGCAAACCTAGCTAAATCTGTGAGCTCCAGGTTCAGTGAGAGACCGTGTCTCATAAAATAAGGAACAGGAACTAGAGAGATGGCTCAGAAGTTGAGAGTTTATTGCTCTTGCAGAGAACTGTGTTTTGACTGTGTTTTGATTCCTAGCACCCATATGGCAGCTCACAATTGCCTGTAACTCCAGTTCTAGGGGATCCATTGCTTTGTTCTAACCTGTGCAGGCTCCTGCATACATGTGGTATATATACACGCAGGCACACACATGTACACATAAAATTAAAAAAAAAATAAGGGGGGAGCAATTGAGGAAGATACCCAGTGCTGACTTCTGGCCTCCACATGCATGAGTACACATGTGAACCTGCACACACACACACACACACACACAGATCCAGAAAATCAGACAGTTTTTCCTAAACTGCAAATTAAAATTCAGGAGAAATTCCTATATTGTTAGTGGATAAAAGAATAAGTCCTTATATAAACACATTCCCAAATATACAGATAATAACATCACAAAATGACTCTGTAAACAATTGCACACAAAGGCAATTTCCCTCTTGAAAACATCTGAATAGGAGACTTGATAGAATCATAGCAGGTGTTGTCTAAGAGAGTGAGGTACAAGTTGATAATTTAAAAATGTTTTGTTCATACAAAATGTTTTGGCCATATAGCCTTGGTTTAATAATCATTCTTACCTCTAGGAGTGCTAACATTTGATTTTAAAGCAGAAATATAACAATATACAGTGTGCTGGATAGCTTTAGTGTCAACTTGACACACCTGGGTTGAGGGAGCCTCAATCAGGGAATTGCCTCTATTGGACTGGCCTGTGGCCATGTCTGAAGGGCATCTTCTTGATGAGTGATGTGGGAGGGCCCAGCCCACTGTGGGTGGTGCCACCCCTGGGCAGGTGGGCCTGTGTTGCATAAGAAAGCAGGCTGAGCAGGGGCCAAGGGAGCAAGCCTGTAAGCAGCGTTCCTCCATGGTCTGTGCTCCAGCTCCTGCCTCCAGGTTCCTGCCCTGAGTTCCTACCTTGGGCTCCCTGATGAACTGCGACCTGGAAGATGTAAGACAAATAAACCCTTTCCTCCCCAAGTTGGTACTGGTCAGAGTGTTTTGTCACAGCAATGAAGAACACACTAAGACAGTAATTGGTATCAGGAGTGGGGTATTGCTGTGACAGACCTGACCTTGGTGTTTTTGGGAGGACTGTGGAAGTGTTTGGAACTTTGGGCTGGAAAGGCCATTGAGTGCTCAGAATTTGTTGCTATGGAGCTTGGAACAGTGATGCTGAAAGAGTTGTAGACGATGGAGGCCTGGCTTGTGAAGTTCCAAAGGGAAGCGGAGACCATCAGGGCAGTTTGCATGAGGTTTTAGATTGAGAATCTGTGGGTTCTGGTTGGCTGGGGCTGAAGAATCAGCTGTGATTAAGAAGAGACCAGAACCTGAAGCAAAACCTTTGC